TATATATATATATATATATATATATATATATATATATATATATATATATATATATATATATATATATATATATATATATATATATATATCACGAGAGACACATTAAATATCATGCTGCTGTATTGTCTGCAATGAAATACAAGTCAAAGTCAATTTGGAAATCACTACTGTCTTTTTAATTTGCGTTTAATTTGACTACTTTCCCAACTTTTTCTGATTTGGGGTTGTGTATATACAATATAATTCATTTCATTTCAAACGTAAACAACTCATATGAACTGTTACTGGAATGTAATATGGCTCTGGGAAAATATAATATCTGATGGCTATACTGTGCAAGAAAGTATACATGTTCCATTAATGAGCAATTACAATAATAAACACTTGACAACACTGAGCGGTTAGTGACGAATACTCAAAAGGAACATAGAGAACAAGAATGCTGCAAATGAGAACACACACACGCACGCACACATGCACACTTGCACACACACACACACCCACACATTTATATGCAACCAAAGCCCATAAAAAAACACGCTAGGGAGAAATCAGTCAGAATGAATTGCTATTTAGCAGGCAGAGACGTTTCAGCAGCCCATTCAATAAAGGAATTATGCAAATCAGGTAAAGGCATAAACACGCCCACAGAATTAGTGCTGCGCTCAATTTGCATGGAGAATTTCCCATCAGACAGGCCTGTTTTTGGAGAAAACGGCAGATAAGTGAGATCTGAGCATTGGCTGGCACTGTAAGAGACTGGAGAGATGCTCATTTACATGCTTCATTTGACCAATCACTGCTGACATGATCAATAGGAAATGTACACAGACGTAAATTGCAATTATCATGCACACACTGGTGGTCTCTATGAAAGGTTTGGCATGAAAACAATGATATTGAGTTTATTTGAAACACACACATGGAGCAAATCTGAACCATAACAGCATATAGTGGATGTTAAATCGCACTGTGGGTGGAATTGTGCAAAAAAAAAAAAAAGATGAATTATAGATAGCATAACAGATTATAGATGAATGACATGAGAGCACGCATCTATTATAATACGCATATTCATTCATTCATTCATTCATTTTCTTTTCGGCTTAGTCCCTTTATTAATCCAGGGTCACCACAGCGGAATGAACCGCCAACTTATCCAGCACAATTTACGCAGCAGATGCCCTTCCAGCCACAACCCATCTCTGGGAAACATCCACACACACACACTCATACCCAATTCACCTGTACCGCATGTCTTTAGACTGTGGGGGAAACCGGAGCACCCGGAGGAAACCCATGCGAACGAAGGGAGAACATGCAAACTCCAGCACTACCTACTGCACCACTGCGTCGCCATGTTATATATAACATATAAAGTTGTGGTCAGAATTATTAGCCCCCTTAAATTTTTTTTGCTCATAATATTTCCTAAATGATGTTCAACAGAGCAAGGAAATTTTCACAGTATGTCCGATAGTATTTTTTTTTTTTTCTAGAAAAAGTCTTATTGGTTTTATTTCGGCTAGAATAAAAAGAGTTTGTAATTTTTTTAACACCATTTTATTAATATTAATATAGGTCAATATTATTAGCCCCTTTAAGCTATTTTTTTTCGATAGTCAACAGAACAAACCATCATTATACAATGACTTGCCTAATTACCCTAACCTGCCTAGTTAACCTAATTAACCTAGTTAAGCCTTTAAATGTCACTTTAAGCTGTATAGAAGTGTCTTGAAAAATATCTAGTCAAATATTATTTACTGTCATCATGGCAAAGAGAAAATAAATAATTTATTAGAGGTGAATTATTAAAACTATTATGATTAGAAACGTGTTGAAAAAATCTTCTCTCCGTTAAACAAAAATTAGGAAAAAAAAAACAAACAGAGGGGCTAATAATTCTGACTTCAACTGTATATAAAATATAAACAAATACATAAATAACATGCAACTATAAAATACTGATTAAAGATTATAAAAATAAACATATGATTTCAAAGATAAATAATAAGAGCAGGAACGTAAATTGTATGTATACAAATGTATAGAATATTTGATGAAGAAATAAATAGCGGAAGCGTCATTTTTCATCTCTCTCTCTCTCTCTGTGTGTATTTTTAAAAATAAAAACATTTTAATAGAGTATAGTCCAAACAATGCTCCAAAACATAGACTCGCCTGCCAATTTACTATGTATACCTTACTAGTACCGTGTTGGACCCCCCCCCTTTGCCTTTAGAACTGCATTAGTCCTTCATGGCATTTTGTTGATGCCAAATTTTTACCATACCATCTGAATGTGGCAGCAGAAATGGAGACTCATCAGACCAGGCAACATTTTTCAAATTTTCTATTGCCCATTTTTGGTGAGCCTGTGTGAATTGTTGCCTCAGTTTCCTGTTCTTAGCTGACAGGGGCAGCACCTGGTGTGGTCTTCTGCTGCTGTAGCCCATCAGCCTCAAGGTTGGAAGTGTTGTGTGTTCAGAGATGCTCTTTTGCATATCTGGGTTGTAACGAGTGCTTATTTGAGTTACTGTTGTCAGATGGAACCAGTCTGGCCATTCTCCTCTGACCTCTGGCATCAACAAGGCATTTGCGCCCACAGAACTGCCGCTCACTGGATATTTCCTCTTTTCGAACCATTCTCTGTAAACCCTAGAGATGGCTGTGCGTGAAAATCCCAGTAGAACAGCAGTTTCTGAAATACTCAGACCAACAACTTTGTCACGTTCAATCACGTTTCTTCCACATTCTGATGCTCGCTTTGAATTGGAGCAGATCGTCTTGACCATGTCATGAGCTCCAGCCATGTGGTTAGCAGTTGGACAGGTATACCTAAAAAAAAGTGGCCGGCGAGAGTATATCAATTCAATTCAAAGCGTGAGCTCACCGTTCGTGCAGGAGTGTGAGCTGGTGTGTTTGCTGCTCCTGCTCCAGCATCAGCAGTTTGTGGAGCTGCTCACACTGCTGGAGGAGATGCTGCTCCACCACTGTCTGTTCTTCAGCTGAGTGCCAGCGCAACATCTCTGAACACTCCGAGGCCTGAGCGGATGCCATGTCCTTCACCTGCACACACACACACACACACGCAGAGACACATGATAAACACACACAGACAGACTTTGAGCACGTTTACATGGACACCAATACTCCTATTTTAATACGATAAAGAGTGTAGCATGTAAACAGCGATCTTCATTCATTCATTCATTTTCTTGTCGGCTTAATCGCTTTATTAATCCGGGGTCGCCACAGCGGAACGAACCGCCAACTTATCCAGCATGTTTTTATGCAGCGGATGCCCTTCCAGCTGCAACCCATCTCTGAGAAACATCCACACACACTCATACACCACGGACAATTTAGCCTACCCAATTCACCTGTACCGCATGTCTTTGGACTGTGGGGGAAACCGGAGCACCCGGAGGAAACCCACGCGAAGGCAGGGAGAACATGCAAACTCCACACAGAAACGCCAACTGAGCCGAGATTTGAACCAGCGACCCAGCGACCTTCTTACTGTGAGGCGACAGCACTACCTACTGCGCCACTACGCTGCCCAAGCAGCGATCTTTAATAACATTAATCTGACTAAAGTCACAATGGAATTAAACAGAAATGGAATTAAGATGTGGAGTATGATGATCTTAGTGTCATTATTGAAGTGCAGTCCAGTCATGTAAACACCGCAATCAAACTATTACCACTTTGTAGTAATTTTCACTACATTAAGGCCAAACTCACACTAGGTACAGTTGCCTTGAACCGGGCCAATGCACGCTTGTCCCCCCTCCCGTCTACCCCTGACGGCCTGCACTCACAACACAAACGGGCTTCGGCACGCTTACGTCATCGCTGCTGCGCTGTTCAGTGAGAAGCGCTCTCACTCAGCAGCACAGCGGAAATTTCTCTAGTTATATCGTTTCGGTCGTTTGATATGCCGTCAAATATTTCGCCAAACAGTCTTTAGGGATGCGGGGACACGCAGTCAGATATCTCGCCGAACAGATCCGCCACTTTTGGCGCTCATAAACAATCATAAAGCTCTCGTGCTGCAGGAATGAGGAGGTCTGCTGAAGGCGCGCAGCTGTCGTGCAGTGAGGGGTTTGCGTCTTTAATAAACTACGGCAGTTTGCGTTCACTGAACAGTAAGAATGATTAATAAATCCATATGAAACAGCCCCATAAAAGTCACGTCTCGCTTTCAGTTTTGGGCTTTGGCACGTTTTGCACTCACACACAAGCGTACCAAAGCCCAAGTGAACCGGGCTCAGGCACACCTCTTCCAAGCGGGCCAGGGCCAGCCAAGTGAACCGTGCTTGAGCCTGATTAAACGCACTCACACTTCTCAAACGATCCGGAAAACGGGCCTGGGCACGGTACGGATGACATAGTGTGAGTAGGCCCTAAGTGACACACACATGGCTGTTGTCAGGCGTTTGATGACAAACAAATGACAATGGCTTCAAGCAAGAGAGCACATTTATTGGTGTTAGCAGGAAACAATGACTATGCTAAGAATTCTGGATGTGTGATGTTTATAAGACTCAAAACTCAAACAGTGACTATGTTTACATACACATCAATGATCTAATGGCCTGTTTCTGAGTGGTGTGGTGCGATACGCTTTTATGGCCGTTTCCACTGTCAAAAGTTACCTAAAAGCGAACTGTACCGTACCACTTTTTGGGTACCCTTTGCAAAGGGTACCAGGCACAACAAAAGGGTACCAAAAGGCAGAGCAAGACGTGCAGCTGAACACTATTGGTTGACAGAGATATGCCACTAGCGTGTACACAAGCAGAAGAATAAAATCAAAGCAAGCACCATTTTTAAAAACACAGCCGAGACATAACACCATCATAATATATGCATATAACAACAAGCCATGGTTGACCTGTGCTCAATTAAAGCCGCCTTGATGAACGGCCACAAAGCCAAGAAGAACGAAATCTGCTGTGTCCTATTTATTTTTTTAAGAGGCCGTCTAAAAGTGTGAGGTTTCACTTTCTCAGAGTGCTTGCGTGTGCATCTATAAATAACGATAGCTGGTTATAGCGTCTGCCTGATTATTTAAGTGCTTCTGACATCCAATCCTTTCAGAAATGGACAAACGCAAGAGTGACGCACGAATAAACAAAGGAGAAGCCGGAAAAAGCAAAGGAGCAAATGATTCTTTCAGCAACCTAAAACATGAATGCAGCGAGGAGGGCGGGGCCGAGAGCCGTAGGAACGAAATGAGGCCGGCCTCAGATGTGAAACACCTGTGAAGCACACTGGCCTCAAATCCCACGGAAGGAGCTCTGGACTATAAGAGGAGGAACGATGGCAGAGGAGGCCGAGAGAAGACCGGGCCCGGACATGTTGTTTTACTTTTGCTTTCAGTTTTTCCCTTTTTTTATTTAATTAATTTAAAACTTCATCGGTTCTCCGTCTCCTCCTTCCTGGCGGCCAGGTGGCCATTATCTTTATTACAGTGGTGCCGAAAATCTAGGAGAAGGAGGGACACGTTGTCCAGTTGCCCTCGCCATGGAGAGGAAGGGAGAGTGTTCGGGAGTTAAGCGGAGTGGGGGAGAAACCCGTTCGCCTGCCTTGAGTGCTGGTGTGGCCTGAGGCTGGCAAAGAAAGGATCTGCTTGCTGCCATCTCTAAGCAATGGGGGGAGCAGGGGACGCGGGGCTCACCGCCGAAAGGGAATGCGCTGAAGGGAGCCATCTCAGAGAACCCGGGGGAGTCGCCACTATCCGCCATGATGATTTGATTACCATCATTGCATCTCCACGCCATACACATATCCTTTAACTGCAGTTTGTCAACTTTAACTGCAGTTTTGGCACTTTCACTTTCATTTAGGAACATTTCATGCATGCCCACTGTGACAAACGAGATATGGATGCGAGTATGAACTACTAGAAGAGTGTAGTTTAATGGAATTTGATACCGAGCACCGTATGGAAACAAAAAACCTCCGCATTTCAGGATGCAGGTGTCTGTGGTCCTTCACTGATTGGGTAGATGCAGAGAATAGTGTCAAACAGGTGTGGTTCTATAGACTATCCTTTCACAAATTCTGCGAAAATCCAACATGATGGTAATAGTTTGATTGTGGTGTTTACATGTCTGTACTGCACATAAATAATGCTTCAATCATGTTTAGTACCATTATGGCCTTAATCAGATTTAATTAATTGAAAAATTGCTGTTTATATGCTAGACTCTTAATCAGAGTATTGTCTTAATCTTATTAAAGTCTGATTATTGGTGTCCATGTAAACATCCCCACTGAATAAAGTTCAGCTCAGTACCTTTGACTTGTGATTCATCACCGCTGTCTTCATTTGCTGTTCAATGTCTCTGCTCATTTCAAGGCTGGAGCTTTCACTAAGGGTCAACAAATGAATAGAGTTCATGCTTTAAAGCTGACAAACAACACGTTTGACACACATTATAATAATGTATATACTGTTGGAGTCAGAATTACAAGCCCCCTGTATATTTTTCCCCAATTTCTGTTTAACGGAGAGAAGATTTATTCAGCGCATTTCTAATCATAATAGTTTTAATAACTCATTTCTAATAACTGATTTATTTTATCTTTGACATGATGACAGTAAATAATATTTGACTAGATATTTTTCAAGACACTAGTATTCAGCTTAAAGTGACATTTAAAGACTTAATTGGGTTAATTAGTCAACTTAGAGTAATTAGGCACGTCACTGCATGACAGTGATTTATTCTGTAGACAATCCAAAACAAATATTGCTTAAGGGGGCTAATAATACTGACCTTAAATGGCTTAAAATGTTTAAAAACAGCTTTTATTGTAGCCAAAAAGACTTTTTACAGAAGAAAAAATAGTAAAGGAAATACCATGAAAAATTCCTTGCTTTATTTAACATCATTTAGGAAATATTTGAAAAAGAAAAGGAGGGCTAATCATTTTGACTTCGCCTGTATCTCATAAATCCCAGGGCAAGAGTTAAGAGGAAGTTTGACAACTGTTCAGAAACACAACTGTATACATTTCAACCTGAACTTTTGATGTGCAATAAAAAAGCCAAAGCTCTCAGACCTGAATACAGCATGAAGAGATGAGAGTAATGAGCACTAATCCCACATTCACCTCACTTTCCTGCTGGTGTTTTTGTGGAGCTGCTTCTCCAGCGTGTGTTTCTCTTTCTCATGTTGAGCTACAGTCCTGTCCAGTTGAGCGCTGTGGGAGCTCCGCAGTGCAGCGTGTGCCTGAAATAAGAAAACAGGACGCTTTTCTCTGGCCTCTTTGTGTTTTGCTGCCCTACAGGTGTCATATTTTGCTGCAATATGGACCACACACAAACCACATGCTCATTACTGAATCAATGAACTCAAGAAAACAAAAGCCTTCGTTCACCTTTGCGTGTTTTCATGGATGTTTTCATCCACTCTGAGGGTGATTTTGAGTATTAATTTGGCCACAACTTCCTGTGTTTCAGCAAATGGAATGATTTTTGCTGACAAATCTTATTTTGATACATATTTTGGGAAAATGCTTTAGAAGTTTTTAAAAACTCAATGCGCTTTGAGCAAATTTACTACCCTTTCATTATGTTCAGGGCTGTTTTTGCCCCACTGACTTCCAATATAAACACATGCATTGACTGCAAAGACATGACAGTATATAATCATGCATTCTTGATTGTTGCTGGTTCTTTCTGTTGGGAAGAGGTCAAATTAGCAATTTTTACTGTTGATCATCAGTTGTAGTACAAAAAAAAAACACATTCTGCAGTATTATTAAACACACACACACCACATGCTCATTAATAAATCGTTAAACTCAAGAAAACAATAGCTTCCAGTCACCTTTGCGTGCTTTTTCTTCAAAGCGTTCACTTCTTTCTGCTGCTTCTTGATGAGTTTCAGAAAAGTCTGGAAGATGTCGGGAATAAAAATGAATGTGGCTTTTGTTATTATTTCACATTTCAGAGATGCTTTAATCATGAATTGAGGTCTACTTTACACTGCAAAAAAAATCTTACTTCAATTTCTTGTCTTGTTTATAGTCCAAATATCTAACGTTATTACTAAATTAACTAAAAAGCATAATAAATGTTGACCCATAGGTGCAGTAACAATGGATGAGTGAGAAAAAAGTGAGTTCTTCCTAAAAACCATAGATATATACATTAGATGTCGCCTGGCCTATTGATGTCTATTGGACGGAATGCGTCAATTGCGCCACCATCTTGGTACAGGGTAGCGCTCCTTTGAAATGAATGCGGGACCAAGGTACAGTGGAGGACTGTGGCCATCCAAAGCCAGAGATATACACATATACACATATATATATGATCGGGAGTTTTCCTGGATGTTAGTATGCAAATTTTTTTTTTTCTAATTACTTTTTCTACATTGATGGATCAGTGACCGCACGGACATTCCTGACAAAAAGCTTGTGTTTGTGTGTACAGAAATGTACTATTTACCCTCCCTGTTAAATTTGATCTAATCTTGTCCTGAAACACACCTCCTCTCCTGCTTTCACTTCTCATACTGACGGAGGGAGCGATTCGTTTGTGAATGAATCCCCTGAACGACTTTTTCACTAACGTTAGCCGACAATAATACACGTGTCTGGCAGTGCTGCATCTCGTTGTCAATTTTTTTTTGCATTGTTTGCTGATTTTATTCAACAAAACTAGCATAAGCCGAGTGTTTAGTGCAAGTTGGAGCTGCTTTGCCTTATGGTGAATGCAGTAAGTGACTGTATTATCATCAATAACGTTACCTGTGTTAGCACAAAAGTTCAGAACATACAAAAACCGAAAAAAACGTAATATTACTTATGAAATGTTCTGCCTTTATGCTTTGTTTTCTTTGTTTGCTCGTTACTACACCTGCTCAGGGTCCCTATGCGATATCTAGTGTATATATCTATGCCTAAAAACAAGCAAAATAGTCGGCCAGTGGGGTAAGCAATCTTGTAATCCCTGTAATCTTGTTGTTCCTTTTTGACATAAGATTATGTGTCCTACCCCATTGGCAGAATATTTAGCTTGTTTAAAGGAAGAACTCACTTAATTTTGTTCTTACTCATCCATTGTTTACTGCACCTATGGGTTGAAGGCAAGTGTGCCGCACGCCTCCTTTAGAGTGACACTCCCGGCCGTTAGATCACCCCCTGGGAAATCCATAACTATATACAAGTTATAAAGCCTGGCTCCCCCATGATAAACCACGAGACCTGAGCCCAAATAAAAACAATTAATCACAATTGCAATAAAATTGGTCATTTAAGGCATGAGTTATCATGCTGATACAGGCTCAGATCTTCATTTTTCTAAACAGTATGTTTTAGCCAGTAATTTAATGCTATAAAAATGGGGCGTGTCATCATGATTGACAGTTGTGATTGACAGCTTCTCAAAGCAGACCATCAGAGCTTCGGGAGGAGACTGAAGTACCGATGTTTCATTTCTGTGTTATTTTACCATAATAAAATGTGTTGGTCAGCAGTACACTATACTTTTTGACATAAAGGATCTGATGGATCAATGTTCTTTCAATTAAAAAATGCGGGCTTTTGTTTGCTGATACACGATGAACGTTAGCCATGTCAGGGAAAACAGCTGTGTTCTATCAGCAATTCTTTTTATGGGTCTGAAATAATATGGGTCTGTTAGCCATCCACATCGATCTCCTGTAACGTTATTTGAACTTGATTTACAGGACGTCTCTCCATTTTGAGTTTTGGCATGTTGTTAAGTTAATCTTATACTAATCTTATGCAATCCAACAAATATTGTTTTTATTAAATTATTAAAAACAGCTTTTTAAATAAATCATATATTAGTACGCGTTTTAAAATATAAGTGGTTTTATTTATATTAGCAAGCCTTTGTTATAGTGCAGATATGGGCGGTCAAAAGAAAAGTTCGGGGGGCGTGGTTGATTTAAAGTACAAGCGTTTGGTTGGAAGCTTGATTCCGCGGCTCCGCCTCTGGCTCCATCAGGCAGTCCTCTTGCGTATGCTCAGGCTCCAGTTTCAGCAGTGTTTTGTGCCCGTCATGAGGTGTTTTGAATTCAAAGCGCTCAATAGGAAAAGATGCTGTCGCTTCGTCCATATTTTTTTACAGTCATTGGTTGATGGATATAAAGCTTTTTTGGTAATTGGGTAATAACTTTTGACTGCATCTGCTTATTGTGACAAAAAAATTAGTATTATTTTTCCAAATTAGACGAATTATGTCATAATCAGACAAACATCCAGTCAACCATATTAGTTTTGTTCAAAACACTCAATTGCAAACTACTCCTAGATCGTTGGTCCAATTTTACCATATTTACAAATGTAAATGTTCGAATCAGTAGACGACCACACACAGACCAATTTGTTGCATGATCCAAGAGGGGGACGTGGCACGTTATTGTACATAAAACCAATATGTTGGGGTACAAATTCAATTGTCCAAAACAAGATTAATAAAAACAGAAACAGAAAGTGTTTAATTTTCACTAAAGACGAACAACTAGTCCACATGATTTTTTTTAAGAAACTACCAGAGTAGTCAATATGTCTCAGTAAACAAGAAGGTCGCTGAGGATCACGACTGATCAGTGGCCCACAACAACCACTGACTGACTAGCTTACCTACTCATAGCAAGATGCATCAATAGCTGGCAGTCATTCGATGCTTCGTCAGCTAGTTGTATCACCAAACGTAATGTTACCTCCTCCGCCGTGATCGCGATCCGGCACCACACTACCTCAGATCACTCCTCCGCAATCCAGCACTGCAGCAGCTTATTACCACGATTGAATGTATAGCACCGTGGGCATCCACTAGCCAAAGGTCCCAGCAAAACTTAGCACAGCAACAGTCGACGATCATGGCCAAGTGTGCCGAAACACGCACTTATCGTCTTACTTACCGGTTGATTGACAAGATGTCTCTTTGTCTGTCAGTCAGTCGGCTTCTCCAGCAATCTCAGCAAGCAACCTCTAGTTATTTGTGCTTTTAGAATGATGTACAATTTTGTGTGGTACTCAATTTGAACACTTAAGAATATCATTAAATAGAGTCTAAATGTAAATGTAAGTGTGCAATGCTTAAACCCCAAACTAGGTGTGTTGTTGTCACCTTACACTGACCACATCACATACATCTGGTTACAGTGCCACCTATTGGACCAATAAATCATTCATATATTCATTGTTTTGATGGTTTTGAGATACTTTGAGTTAAATAAGCTTCAAATGTATTCAGAGAGTCATTGTTTCACTTGATCTGATGCATGGCCTCTGGACTGTTCTGCTTATTCTGCCTCTGGACTGCTTGGCCCCTTAATTGCTGCTTGCAGCTATGTTTTGCTTTAAAACTGCATAGCAAAGACTTAATAAGGAGATTATTGTTCACTATTGTGGACAATGTTTATCTTTTTTCATATTTTTAATTTTTGATGTGAACAAGCTTTTATTGTGGTTAAGCTGTTACCTTTGTTTGCTTGAGGTCATCGATGGTCAGCTGTGGAGTTAGAACCGATGAATCTGCGGGTTCACAAACAAAATATAAGTCAATCAATGTCTGATTAAGAAGTAAGCTCTCTGTTTAGTTTGATCATTTAAAATGGATGTATAATGTATGATTGTGGCTTTTGGAAGTCGTTTGGAACTGTAAGATGTGATTTTGGCCGCAAGAAAGACTTGGATTGATTTTTGATGTCAGTGTCAAAGACTTTAGTCTGTCTGAGACTCAGCCAAGATCGACCTGGAGCCGTATCGTAACCTAAGCAAGAGTTTCAGAAGACAGAAGACAAAACTGCACAGGACATGATAAAATAAGCTCATTATTTTATCAGAGACCAACTCTGAAACAAAATCTTTTTTTTTTTTTTTGTGAGTTTCATGAATGATTTAAGGTTTTGTACAGGTTCAGGTTTAAGAAATTATATTGTTTCTAGAAATATGATTACTTTTTACTTTAATATATAAGTTAATTGAAATTGATAATATTATGTTACCCTCTTTGGAGGAGATGGGCATATTTTCTCTGGGTCTGTCTGAGTCTTTCTGTGGTTTCATCATCATCCCGGCCTGATTTGTTTTTCTTTTCTTATTCCCCTTCCAGACGTCACTCGGCACATCAGCAATATCTGACTGAATAAACAACAACATCCCAGAGAAGCTCAATCAATCACTGGCTTCTGTGTTATCTGAGGAAAGTAAAAAGTGAACTTTTGTGCATGTAACATTTAGCAGCCAACATGTGTGTGAAACAAATGTGACCAAATCCGCCAATTCGGTTCAGTCTGGTTAGAGTCATGGGAGAAAAGTGATCCTCAGAATTATGCAGCACCTCCATCCATCTATCCACTTATTCATCTGCCCACCCATCCATCCACCAATCCATCCATCCTTATTCCATCATCCATCCATCATCCAATCAATCCACCCAAACTTTCCTTCATTAGACTCCTCCATCCATACATATATCTATCCATCCATCCATCCTTCTATCATCCACCCATCAATCTAATTTTCCTTCAGTCCACTCCTCCATCCATCCATCTGCCCATCAATCCATCATTGCATCAGCCATCCATTCACCCATCAATCCATCCATACATACATTCATCTATCCATCCACCCATCAGCCCATCCATTCACCCATCAATCCATCCATACATACATTCATCTATCCATCCACCCATCAGCCCATCCATTCACCCATCAATCCATCCATACATACATTCATCCATCCATCCACCAATCAGCCCATCCATTCATCCATCCTTCTATCATCCACCTATCAATAAAACTTTCCTTTAGGCCATTTTTCCATCCATCCATCCACCATTAAATAATATGCTAATCAATCCATCCATTAATCAATCCTTTAATCATCCACCCATCAATCTAACTTTCCTTCAGTCCACTCCACCATCCATCTATCCATTCATCCATCTGTCCTTTCTTCTATCATCCACCTACCAATTCAACTTTCCTTTAGTCAATTTTCCATCCATCCATTCACCAATCAATTAATATGCCAAACCATCCACCCATACAATCATCCATCAGTCTATCCAACCATCCATTCAATCATCCATCCTTCCATCATTCCAATCAATCCAACCTCCATTTAAATGGTCAATTCTCCATCCATCCATACACCCATCAACACATTCATTCGACTTTTTATAATTCACTGATCAATCCATTTTTACTTCAGTCCATTCCTCCATCTATTCTCCTTCAATCATTCTATACACTAATCTATTTCTCCACCAATCCTATAAATATCCATCAATCCTACTGGTCATAAATCTATCCCCATCCATCTATCATTATTATTAATATATTCCTCCATCCATTCATCCGACAATCCATCCATCTATCCATCCATCCATCCATCCATCCATTCGCCCATTAATGCATCAGCACATTCAGCCCATCCATCCTTCCTTCTATCATCCACCTATAAATCCAACTTCAATTCAGTCTATTTCTTCATCCATCCATACGCCCATCCAATCCATCCATCCATCCATCTTTCCTTCAGTCCATTCCTCTGTCTATCCTCCGATTCCAAAAATGTATCCATTTCTCCATCAATCCTACTATCATCCATCAACTCTATCGTTCCTTCATCAAGATATTCCTTCATCCATTCATCCATCCGACAATCAATCCATCCATGCTTCCTTCTATCATCCACCCATTAATCTAACTTTCTTTTAGTCCACTCTGCCATCCATACATCCATCAGCACATTCAGCCCATCTATTCATCCATCCATTCGTATATCAATCCATCCCTCCTTCCTTCTTTCTATCATCCAGCTATCAATTCAACTTTCTTTTAGTCCATTTTCCATCCATCTGCCAATGATTATTACGCCGAGCAATTATTAAGCCAATCAATCCATTCATCCATCCACCCATCAATCCATCCCAAATCAATCCTTTTGTCATTCCAATCAATCAAACTTCCCTTCAGTCCATTTCTCCATCCATCCATATACTCATCAATCCATCCATCTATCTGCCCATCCATCAATTCTTTTATCATTCACCCATCAATCCATCTTTCATTCAGTTCATTCCTCTATCTATTCTCCTTTAATGATTTCATAAATTAATCCATCAATCCTACTATAATCCATCAAAGCTTCTGTGGTCATCGATCTATCCCCAACCTTCTATCATACATCCATCAACATATTCCTCCATTCATCCATTCACCCTTTCTTCAACTATCAATCAATTTATCCCGCCATTCAACCATTCCCAAATCATGCATCCATCAGTTCATCCCTCCATCCATCAAACACAAGGGAAAAATAACTAAGGGTAAACAAACAACCCTTCAATATCTGAACAAACTCTAAAGGCCCGTTCACACCAAGCATGATAATAATAAATATAAATATAACAATAAATATATTTGTGTCCACACACACAGATAAACGATAATGATCTGTTTATTTTTAGATTCTAATTGGTCATTATCCCTTGTAACCAGCGAGATTTCTCAATGTGCTACTACCGCATCTGACCAGTGAATCCAGCTCCTGTAATCAACTAAACAAATAGCCAATTTAGCAATCGTAGTCAGTTCCCTGGCATTTCCAAAACACAAACACACTGAAACTAGCACTGGATTCCTGCACTACTTTTAATCTTTAGACTTTAATTTGACTTTCCTAACTTCAATAAGTTGTTTTTATCATTATTTTCCATGGTATAACTAATGTTTTCCACACTGGCCTAACATCAAGCAGTGTGTGACTCTCCACAGTGTCACAAGTATCTTTAAATTGTGCTAGCCCTTTAATTTTCAATGTATTTTATTGTTTTAACTACCAAAAGCCAGGAAAGAAATGTGATCTCAATGATATTGTTCCTCTGTATCTTTATCAATGTAGTTGCATTGTGAACTATGCTATTCTTCAGCACTGTGAACGATTTCTAAAAAAGATATATTTATCATTATATTTAGTTATTGTGCTTGGTGTAAATGGGTTTTAATACTATATCAATATGCTTGTCAAATCATTAATGCATGTAAAATAAAGTAGCTGACATGTTCATCAAACATATTCAAGAGACAGAAAAAGCAAGCTTTAGTATTGCCGGAAAAATCACATTGGAAAAGTATAAAGACACACCAGCCAGCAGGAATGTCTTTGTGCATCTGCAACACTATTCCAATGAGCTGCTTTAATGCTGAAAGTTTAATAACAGAAGTCGATTCAAACAGTTCAGCGAGTACATGAAGAGATGATTAAAATAAATGAATGAGACCACTCAAGGTTGCGCGCATTAATGATAAAGATGCTCACCGCCTCAATGCCCATGGCTCTCATTTGGTCCGTTCTTTTCTCACAGATGGATAAAAACTTCTTGGGATCAGACAAAGCATCCACAATAGCTGAAAAGAGAGGCGTAAAGACTTACAATGAAACTCAATGAACCTGTTTGAACTTGCTGGAAGGCCTCGTGATGCTGAATGATTTTAGAACATAATGTGTGTGTTTATATATTTATCGATAATCTAATTGCCGTTTAAAAAGTGCATTTTTATTTTAAAGCAGCTTGTCTTCTGCATATTCAACAAAAGACAAGCAATAAATCTTTATTTTGTATGACTAACATTAGTGTGTTGAGTTATTAATAATATCTTCCTAAAATAAATATCCACACTAGACTTACAAAATAAAAACCATTGAAATGACTCAATTGCCATTTTAGTTTTAGATTCATCAGTTAAAAAGAAAAAAAGATTTAAACTTTGTGCAACACTTTCTTAAAGGGTCATGACACCCCCCACTTTCGGTTCAGGTCAACCTCAGAATTTTTTCAAAAGATGCATCATAGTGGGCGTGGAGTTCCGCGAGCAAAGGGCAGGAGTGGGAGTGGCCAGCAGGGGAGAAGAAGGGGAGCGAACAACTGTTGTCAGTCGGCTCACAAAATGAGAAACAAACCGTGAGGAGACGCATGATTTTATTGTTTACAAAGTTAAAATGCAAAGAAATGAACAGTAATTTAATGCTACATTTGTTATTCGTAATTTCATATACACACAACCACAATTTATATCATTATAAAGATTATCGTGTTCGTATAAACACTATAAATGAGGACTTCTCCCTCAATCCCTGGGTCTGAATGCAGACTCAGTACAGCAGGTCTCTTGCCCTGTCTACTTCAACTATTAGCCCTGTTGGTAATCTTGAGGATTTAGGCGAACACAGCAGCACGGCGATGTGTCTAAATGTGAACAAACTCCTGATAAAAGACAACGTCCGCCATTCTCCAATTCTCGTACTGCTCTCCTGACAAAAATGCTTGCAGCACACATACAGCTTTGCTGTATGATCGGCCCTGACGGCAATCTGGGGAAAAACAAGCAACAAACCCTGTGGATCATGGAAACAAACACATACGACCCTTCATGAACAGCTAAATACTGTGTGCTGTGGCTCCGTGTCTCACAGCTCCGCACTGGCAGGTCTGCCTTGCCTTCGGAAAGCATGTGCAGTCATGAATATTTAAGAGGCCGACTCTTCTCATAGGATAAGAAAACTCTGTTATGAATAATAATGAAAAACCGACGAGTCATCTTTTTAAATTTTTAATCCCGCCCAATTTTAATTTTTTTTATTTTTTAATCCCGCCCAAAAAAATCATTTTAAACCCGGAAGCTGAAATTAGCTGAAAAAAGCTCAAAATTATCCAGTTTTCCCACAATTAAAGCTTACAGGTGCTAACATTGTCCTAACTGATGCTCAACACACACAAATCTGTTAAAATCTCAAAAAAATACTCAAGGGTTTCTTGAACCTTTAAAGTGAAGTTACATGAGATTAACAAATTATAGCTGAAGATCTTTGCCCGAACCCGATGAGACCCGAGCTTGGGCTTGTATGGTAAATGAACAGTCATGTGATGCATTTCGATTCACGTGAGAAATTAATCAAATCGTTTGTAAAACAATAAACTACATCTCAGCAATAATGAAACAAATGATGACGGAGAAGTCAAAAAGAGGGAATTTGACTGAAAGGGTGTTCAGGGCTGCTCGGTAAGCGCAGGACTGCACTAAAGCCATTTACAGTGGATTCAATGATGTTCCTCCACAAAAACACGTCGCCTAATCTTGGTGAGTAAAGGATTTTTAAATTATAACTAAATATTATTTAAACTATAAAATCATAATGTAGACAGAGTATACAGGCTAATGTTGGCATGAATCTTTTATTATTTAGCTTTACCCTTAATGATTTTAATTTGTTTACACGATTGTCAAACTTTAATGTTGTTTAATGATTATGAAACAAAGTTAAACATTAGTCAAAGACAACACATTATAAACACATGATGCACTAAAGTGCTTTGAGATGCTTCTTTTAAAGGTGTTATATATAATAAAGTGTTTTTTCTTTAATGTATTAATTAAAAAAAAAAAGGACAATTGAAACTTTACGATTTCTCTGCTGACTTATCTATGTATCTGATTGTGGTCAATGCATGAGTTGCATTAAAACCACATATTCCCGGTCCATTATTCTGATTGGTTAAGCAACATTCTAAGCTGTTGTAAATTACTCTACAGATGCAAACTTGTAAGTGTACCGGAGCAATCATTTTGCTATCAGTACTAAACCTAAGAAACTGTTATATTTGTCTTCTTTTATTTTTTAAAACCTCGCTACACCCATGAAATAACCATTTCATGAATGTGCAATATCACACAAGTAGCAGTGTGATACAGCGTATATCCGCACTGGTGTGAGGTATGCGTTGGCTTGAAGCTGCGGGCTGAGTGCCTTAGTGTCCCACCAGTGCCAATATACAGCCATATTGCACTGCTACGAGTGTGATATTTCGTTCATACAATAGTTTGACGGCATAATCATGTATATTTTTAAAAAACCAAACAAGAGGAATTCTTTTATATGAGGAACTACTTTCTTCCGCCATTCAGTCACATCTGCAGCTGGCATCAAAACAGCAGAGTATCCTTACTAATTCACCAATATTGATTATACCAGTATTATAATGATTCTCTAGCGTAATGTCTAAAGTGATGACAAAACAGGTGATTTTGCTCACATTTTAAGTTTATAAGGCTGAACGACATGAAATGCCATCAGTCTACAGAGATTTCCCAGTATTTCCCTGTTGCAATCAGGAGATCACAATAATTAACATCAAAAAAGCCAAAGCAAAGCAGACTAATATGGTATAAATACAGCACTACAACATACAAAAGAGAGAGATTGACTTAGAATGTCTCTTACCTGTTTTATAATGATTTGATCAGCTGTAGCTTGAAATTACGCTGAGTTTTTCTCCCCTAAGGACTTATAATGCACTCTCTGTCACCATCTTGTGGCAGCATGCTAACCATCTTTGTTCTGCTCAGTATGACAAGCTGATGGATGCCGATGCACTGAATCTCTGATATTATAAATATTTAAAACGGGCAATCTAAACAACTACATTCTCACCTGAAAAAGAGCCTTAAAAGTACATTAAGTTGTCCAAAGGCTGCAACATTTGTCAAACCATCTACTGTCACTATGTGGGCGGAGTAATACAATAAAAGGGTGAAGAGGCTGTATGAGTGCTGTTATTATGGGAATATCGCATGGCTAATCAGATTGAGAACAGAGACAGAGCTGTTGTGTAAAAACCAATAAACTTTCAAGAAGCTGTGTTTTTTAGTGAAGTTATAACAGCTAAAGGAATTTTAGGAAACTCATTTTATTGTTATCAGGAATGTTTGTTAGCAGTTATAAATACAGCTTCACAAGGTTCAATCATTTTTTATAATATAAGACCATCACAATTATTTGCTCAGCCGTACTGACCTCCGAATCCATCGGGCACGTATGTTTTGAGGATGATATTGCAGAAGACGGTGGCCAGAGGCAGAGGTTTGTTGTACTCGTTTCGTAGGGAGATGTGCCTGTAACCAGACTGCAGTCCGTCCAGAGGGAGAATCCGCTGGCCAATCAGCTTATTGTTATCATCATATACAGCCACACGGAGCACTGCGAGGTCTGGCAGAATCACCTTTGGGATTGAAGAGTTTGGATGCTATTTAATCGGTAGCACATGGCTTTCAATGCATATTTTTATAGGTTATACCAAGACTGATTTAATGTGTTTGTATATAAAAACAGTACAATTTTTTCCCACTTCATAATGTATAATGTTTTATATTTTTTAACATGATACTGTCAAGATGGAGCAGAGTAAAGCTCAGCGTGTCTTCTTCATGATACCTAATGTTGCTTGTAGCTCACTGGGGTCAAGAATCGTTACTATTAAGAGTTAAGTGGGTGTAAAATCCCCAAAAGTTGGGTGCTGGCTAACAGGTAAAATATTGGTCCATTACGCAAGTTATTTACTAACATGAACATACAGTTAGTAATAGATTCATTATGGCCTTTATTCATGTTTGTTAATGTTAGTTAATGATATTTAAGCTAAATAACAATAGCTCATAATAACTCACGGTGCATCAACTAATGTTAACAAGCACAACTTTGGATGTTAATAATGTGTTAGTGAATTTTTAACTATCATAAGTAAATGCTTTAAAAGATTATTCACAATTAGTAAATACATTAACTAACATTATATAATAGATCAGGGGTGGCCACCCCTGTAATAGATCATAACTCTAAAGTGTTACCATTTCATTTGTTGTGCATTAGAGAAAGCCAAATCAAAAGTACAAACAAGAGAGATGGTGGCAGAATGGTAAATAATACACGGAAATCTTAACGACAGCTTCACCTGATGCAATATTTATATGTGCACTCATATTTGTTTAGGAACTGTAATGCTTGTGACATCTTAGATTTTAAAAAGGAAATAAAACTGCAAAAATCTTAAGACAGCTTGCTTGTTTTTTTTTTCTTTGCTCATGTTTATTCTATGTCTTTTTCCTGTTTTATTATTTAAAATGCAAAATTATTTAAAAATAATACTATTTTAATGCTTCATTAAACATGTAATAACACTCATCATCTGAAAGTTGAATTTAATGACAAAATTTATTTATTTATAATAATAGAACCAAATTATTATTATTTGTTTTCCTACGCATCAAACTGTCCTGGTGTAATTTATGAAAAAAGCAATTGTTTTACGCAGCGGAGGCCCTTTCAGCTGCAACCCATCACCGGGAAACACCCATACACTCCTATCCACACACACATACACAATAGACAATTTAGCTTAGCCAATTCCCCTGTAGCGCAAATGTTTGGACTGTGGGGGAAACCCACATCAACAGGGGGAGAACATGCAAACTCCACACAGAAATGCCAACCTGGCTCAGCCGAGGCTCGAATCAGCGACCTTCTTGCTGTGAGGTGATTGTGCTACCCACTGCACCACCATGTTGCCCTATAAAAAAATATTATAGAATGAAATAAAATGAAAAAAATATATAAAAAAACAATAAGATACAATTAAATAAAATTAATAATAAACAAAACAAAACAAAAACTAAACAAAATAAAAAACATTATGAAATAAAATAAAATAAAAACAAATGATAAAATAATAAAATGAAACAAAACTAAATAATAAGATAAAAATAATTTAAAAAACCAAAACAAAATAATAAAAATATTATAAAATAAAATAAAAACCAATTAAAAATAATAAATAAAATAACCAATTATAAAATAATAAAATAAAATAATACAATATAATAAGCTAAAAAATAATAAAATAAAACAAAACAAAATAATTAAAATATTATTAAATAAAAAACGATAAATGATAAAATAATAAAATAAAATGAAATGAAAAATAATAAGATACAATTAAATTAAATTAAAAATAAAACAAAGTAAAATAAAACAAAATAAAATAAAACATTTTATAAAATAAAATAAAATAAAAAACAATTATAAAACAAAAAAATAAAACAAAACAAAATGATAAAAAAAATAATAAAAATATTATAAATTAAAATATATACCAATGAAAAAATAATAAATAAAATAACCAATTATAAAATAATAAAACAAAAATAAAAACAAAATAATAAGATAAAAAGTAATCAAATAAAACAAAACAAAATAA